CCCCTGTGGGGGTGCCCGGGGGGGGGGTGTGTCCTACGAGGAGCCGCGTTTGTCTGCCCAGGTGCTTTGGGGGCCCCCGGTGAGCGGGGCTGGGCTGGGCTTCTCAAAGTGGGGGCTTCGGGGAGCCCTTTCTGGGGGGGCTGGGCCGGGCTGCTCTCACTGGGAGCCCTCAGGGGGTCTGGCCTCCCCTTGCAGGGGGCGTTGGGGACCCCTTACGAGGGGGCTGGGCCAGGCTCTCATCCCTGGGGACCCTGTTATACAGAGAGGGGTGCGGGCTGTCTTCGTCATCTTATCGAGGGTTTAGGGTACCTAACGGGGAGTTGTGGGCCAGCATCTTCCTCCCTGAGGGATTTGGGGGACCCCTTTGGGGGTGGAGGGGCACAGTCTCCATCTCCTTGAAGGCGAGGCAGTCACTTTTTTAGGGGGTTCTTTAGAGGATCCCCTTCTTTGCTGGGTGTGTGGAGGGATTGAGGGTTGCAGCCTCAGGAAGGAGCCCCTCCCTTGGAGCGTGGATCTGGGGTCCCCTTCACCAGCTCATCCCCGGGGAGATTCTCCCCCCACCTTTGTCTTTGGGGGCATCCCTGGGATTGCAGAGCAGGAAGGGCTCCGAGGCAGCAGGAACATCTGTAGGAGCCATGTCCACAGATCTGCCTCCCTGCAGGGACCCCGGCCGGGAAGGGGCTGGTGGAAGGGGGTGGCCGTGGTGGGGAATTCGCCTAGGGAGGCACTGAGCTCCTGGAGAAGAGCTGTTCCCAGGAGAGATCCCTGGTAAGGATGGGAAGTAGGTTAGGAGATGCGAAAGGAGGTGGCTGGGAGGAAGGGGGAGCTCGCCCTGAGAAAGTCTGCACAGGGGAAGGGCCCGTGGTGGGCAGAAACTGGTACTGGGCTGGGTGGGCTCCCGGGTGCCCTCGCAGAGAGCCAGGACGAGGTGTGCGAGGGTGCAAACCCTTCTCTGGTGAGTGGGACCCTCGGTCTTCACCGTGGGTCCCTCCTGGGGAGGGCAGGGGATGCTTGCGGAGGGAGGAGGAGATCTGGCCGGGCAGGATTGCCGCTGCAGGCATGGCTGGGCAAGGAGGGGGACAAAAAAACGCCCTCTGGGATGAGACTGGGATGCTCTCCAGGGCTGGTGGCATGCCTTCCCCCCCGCAGCCGTGCAGCTTTGCAGAAGGCAGCAGAGATGGAAATGCGTGCTCAGGGATGGGACCGGCGGCTTGGTTTTTCTTCCCCTCGATCACTGGGACCTCGGGGTGTCCAGGGCTGTGCGGTAGCTGTTTCTCGACAGCAAGAATTGTAATGTGAGCCTGAAAGCATCTTTCCAGGGGAATGCTTCAGCTGTGTTGAAACTGATCTTCCTCCCCCTCACAAAGAAAAAAAAGAATCTTAAACTTTGAGCCAGTGTCTGTGGACTGACATGGCTTAAGTCTCTCTGAGGGCTTTCTGTAGCCTCAGCCTGTCGAGGTGTATTTTTCTTAGCATGTTCCCCTTCGTCTTGTGGTTGTTGGGGTTGGTTCTGCCCGTGCTGAGCTGTACGATACCTCCTGATCCTTACGTATTCGTACTTCATGCTGAGTTGGTTAAGTTCAATTACTTATTAATTACAGGGATTTCATAGCAGCGGGAATGCTTTGCTGCCAGTCTTCGCAGGCTGCAGTGTGTGAAGGACAACAGCATGTGTTTGGGCCCAGCAGAGAAGAGCTGTTCTGGCTAGCCCGTGGCTAGAGAGCTGGCTGTGCCTTGCAGAAAGCTTGCTGTTGGGATCTGGCTCTCTCCCGTGTGACCCAAATACTTTACGCTTCGATTCTTTCTGTGCAGAAGAACCATTCGGGGGGTGAATTCTGCACCTGGAGGATCTACTTGAGAGAACAGCATTTATTGACTGAGGAGAAATATTTTGTATGCCTTGCAAGGTGCCAAGCTGAAATTCTGCCTTGTGCCCACTGTGGGGAAACGTTTAAAATGCCCTGTTTGAAATCAGAGGTGGGTTTTGAGGCCGGCGCTGGAATCGGGGTTTTAGTTCCCAGCGTCTTAGCCAGCGCGAGGGAGGACCCGACCTTTAGTCTGTCACCAAACCACGCAGCGGTGTTTGAAAGAATTAAGACCTGCAGATAACGGCTAACGAGGGGGCGCGCGGGTGTTTGCTCGAGGCTCTCTGGACCCCTGGCTTCCCCTTCCACAGGGCAGGGAGCAACCGCGGCTGGAAGGATGGGGGTTTCCTCTTGCTTTATCTGCCACTTCTCATCTCCCAGGAGAAGCTGCTTTTAATTTGCCCATGTATCTTCTTGTAGCACTGCCAGGTTGGCTCTCGCCCTTTTCCAGTATTGCCTATTGCTTTTGCTAACCCGGCTGCGTAAATCAGCCCCAAAACTGTTACGTGGTACCAGCCATGTTTCGGCGGCGCGAAGACCCCGTGTCTCTGCACACTCTGCCAACAGGACGCTAATTCTCCCTGGGTCTATTAAAATCCAACTCCCGCAAGTAAATCTTAGCACGGTTGTGAGTTGGAGTAGAAAACAATAAAACAAGACTCCAAAAATAGCTCTGATTTCCCTTCCTTTCCACAGCAGCACCCTGTGCACAATGGTGGGGGTGGGGTTCCCCAGGAGGCACGGGGGCCCATCCGCCACCGCCGCCGCCTCCCTGGCACGGCCGCGCTGCTGCCTGGTTCGCCTGCCCGCCGGACCCGCGGCGGGGTCGGCAGGCCCCCCAAACCGGGCCGCGGGGGGCGGGG